CACACCTCCTCCCCTTTGTGCGACCTTGCGACCTCCTCGTCCTCCCTCGCGCCCCCCTCCTCCCCTCCCCCTCCCGCACGACCTCCTGCAATCTCTCCTCCCCATCGTGCAACCTGCTCCTGCCCCTCCCACGACCTCCTCTTCGCCCTCGTGCGACCTCCTCCCCCCTCGAACGACCTCCCCCTCGCGTGACCTGCCCCTCGTACGACCTCCTCCCCCTCGTGTGACCTCCCCCTTGTGCAACCTCCTCCCCCCGCGCGACCTCCTCCTTGAAGAACGAGGCCCCCACCCCGTGGTCCCCAACGCGCGCGCATGGATCGCGAAGTCGCGTTCAAATTTTTTGCGCCACGTGGTGCGTGGCACGTTTGAATACGATTGAACGCAGCCCCAGCCCGTTTGAACGTGAACGCGCGTTCAGACGGTCACACAGCTCTCTCTCTCTCTCTCTCTCTCTCTCTCTCTCTCTCTCTCTCTCTCTCTTGTGGCGACCTTTGCATTTGACAGCTCCTTAGTTTATACTCACACCAGGATTTCTCTTCAATGTATGTCCGTCACGGTGTATCTTCCTATGTTCTTGTGGAAGATTCCTTCTCGCTTTGCACATTGGCAGGCTCCTCAGTTCATGCACATATGAAACTGTTGAATTCCAGACGTGTGTGCAATGACTTGCTGATTTCTGCTGCCGAGATTGACTGCGAGGCTGTACACTAACCTGTAGGGTTAGATTCATAATTTTATTTGGCTGAGGGCTAACCGAGAGACCTGCCTGTAGGGAAATTCGTGAGGGACAGATCTGCAAATCCGGGAAAATACAGGCCCGATACTAACCCGAATTCCTACAGCTACTCTAACTGCCTGTAGCAGGCCCGGGCTACCCCTAGGACGGACAGGCCCTAAGTGGCCTATGCTGCTAGACGGTCCTATAGCCTATAGTCGGGTCCGGTAGAGGCCGAGAGGCCGAAACAGCAACGGTACCGGTCGGTCAGTCAGTCCGGTCTAGGTCTAGAGAGTCTATAGATAGGTTAGGCCCACCGGTTCAGGACTTTTGGCAGTTCATTTCTCGCGAGCAGCGTTGGAGAAGCCAAGCAAGTTGGTGGCGGTGTTGGTCTGCAGGCGGCATCCTGAGACGCACCGTGACAGCAGCCATAGCCGGCCTCATCTGAGTCTGCCATAGTTGGGGCATCCTCATCGCATCTACCCCTGGGGGTATCTGCGTTTGGCCRGGCTGTATCGAGGCTCTACAGTGGTGGTTCGTGGGTGGTGGCAGCCATAGCTGCCTGTTCCTTCGTCAGAGTTGTCCATYGGCACTGAAGACTTCATCGGAGGACCTGTTCTTCATCAGCGTGGTTGGCGCTAGCCTCTGGGAGGCTGTTCTGACATAGTGCTACTAATTGGGTGTAGCATAGAGAGTGGGGTGTGAGTTCTGAGAGTGGCGAGATACTGGAACAAACTCTGTTACGATAATTGTGTGAGTGGCTCATCATCAGTGTCATTTCCAATTGTGATCTTCGCAGGTTCTTTCTTGTGATTGGTTGTTGGGAGTTGTGTCGGAGGGTGAGAAACACTGCGTGTCTTCTCCCCATCTATGCATGATTGTCTTCCGCTGCTTATTTTCACYTGTGTGCAGTTTGGACTCTGTCTCCTCTCTCCCCTTCTCCTATGCATGTATGGGCATGTGTGAGATTGTCTGTGTGTGAGTGGCGATAAAATTCGTCAGGCAACGAAATTCATAACAGTTGGTATCGCAGCGAGATTAGATTTGGATCACTGAGGGTTGAGCGCATTGAGGCATCTTCTTCATCTGGCGACCTACTGGCGAGAGTTTCATGGCGATTCATCTTCCCCAGTACTGAGTCAGCAGGGAAGAGGACTTCCAGCGGTGGATTCAAGTGTTCAGTGGTTGCACTGAGAAATCGACTGAGCTTGTCAGGGCGCTTGTCAGGAAGTGGCGAGTATAGGGCTAATTCGCCATAGTCAACCCTGAGGGTGATATAACGAATTACCCCAGAGTGGCGAGTTACCCTTGAGGACATCAGGGAACCCTGAGCGGCATCATCC